GGCCCGGCCCGGCGCGGGTGACGGTTCCGAGGCAGCTCTGGGCTCCCGCCCGTGGCAGAAGCGGGGGTGTCGGCCCCGGCCCCGTCCCGGTTCCTCCCCGCTGCCCGCGGGTCTGCGGCAAAATCCGACCAATCCGAGGCCGCGCTCGGCGCTGCCGCCCCGCCCCGCTTTGGACGCTTCATGTGTTGCTTTTTAATTTTGTATTTATTAGTATTTGCCTACGTAGTGGCCTTCCCCAGCTGTATTTAAATAATCTCTGCCAGTCGCGTTCTCTTCGACCTCCAGCTTCTTTCTGTTAACTAAGTCTTTCGACGTGTTGCTTAAAAGAGGAGGGGAAGGAAGCACTCAATCTCGTGAAAAAGAGGGTTTTCTTCCTTTATTGAACATAACAAACTATTTCCTTCTTGCGGATTAAAACGTGGTCAGTTTATTGTTTTTTTTTTTTCCCTCGCAGCACATGCACACACACACACACACAAAAACACATACATATGTCTGTCATGCCTTTACCTATCAAGCATATTTTTTACCCTTGTGAGAAAAGCTGAGAGCCTAAGGAATTATTCTAAGATAACAGACCATAAGGAAGCAGCACAAGTTGCAATGTTATGTTCTGGGAATGCTTCCTACTGGGGAAGCAAGAGACCCGTTCTTGCCCAGCACCTCAATGGAAACAAAAAACTATTACAATAGTCTCACACTAATGCCTGGGTTATCTCCTTGCTAAACACGTGCCTCTTAAAATAGGAATGCTACTCATATTGCTAATGGTTAACAGCAAAATACAGATCAGTGTTCTAAGATTACTAACTTTACTGGCTTAAGGCAGACTTGGTGAAACTTTACTTCCTGACACAGATAATATTAAACTAATTTATACTGAGATTAAACACAGTTTCATAGTAAAAAAAAAAAAAAAAAGAAGAAGAAAAAATGGTTTGGGCTACTTAGGGTTTTTCCTTTTGTCTTTTTAACAGCACATAGTTTACCAAATTTCTAGTTATTTTGGCAATAATAAATCAATTTCCCATTTAACAGACCAATATTGAAATAAACATAAATAAGTCTTCAAGAAATGTAACAATTAGAATTTCCTGAAGAACTTTTCAGGGATTTTCTTTTGGTGTGGCTTCTGTTCTAATTTGCATTTAGTCTTCATATCTTGAGAACTCATAGCTTTATGAAAGATCTTCACTGGCATAATTTTATGCAAGTTCTTTGGCAAACAGGAAAAAAAAATGTGTTTCAGTTTCAAACCTCCCACCCTCCTGCATCTTTCTTATTTATTAATCATAATGGCTCACACATTTTTAGGGTAATTTATCTAGTTCTTTACCTTTACCAACCCTCCCTCATGCCCCAGAAAATGTACTAGATACATGTGCAAAAAGGAAATTGCTATCCTTTTAGATAATGTATATATTTATATGTATCTTTATATATATTACTTTTTCCAAACAGAGAAACATAAGGCAGCAGGGTTTTTTCCTTTAAATACCTGTTGTTATCTTTTAACTTTTTTCCATTTCCCTCCTCACCAGACAACCTTGTTCAAAACTCTTCAGCCTTCTTTTATGAAATTGTGTAAATCTATTGATAGAATCAGTTTATAATTCAGGCAACCAATTGTTTCAGAATTTTAAGTACAGCATTTAAGGAAGTGTCATAGCCCATTTGTTTTGGGTTTTTGTTGTTGTTTGCTTGTTTTTTTAATCGTTGATATGAGGCCCTCCTGACTTTTCTGCTTAGTCATCTTCTTATAAACACCACCAGTCAGCTCCGATTCCTATATTTAAGCTAGAGTCTTGTACAATTAAGTGTTAGATTCATTAGCACGTGTGTGTCAGCCTCCAGTCAGATAAGCCTCTTCTATTTACAAAGCAAAAGCAATTAGCAACTCCAAAACCCAAATCAGAGTGTTAAGTAAAGACATCCATAGGACTGATAGATAAATGAAACAGTTATGGAAAGATATCTCAAGGCGGAGAAAGGATACAATACTATCCCTTTTGCAACAGCAAAGAGCTGGAGGAGCCTTATGGAGGGTCCTAGGGAAGTTCTGGGAGCTCTGTTTGCATTTTGGGGGGACATGGGTGAGGGTGGCTGTGCTACATAGTATAGTAGTGGAGCTCTGCATCTATACTGGGACAGTGTGCTGAATTAGCAGGAACTTTAAACTGTACTTTTAGTTAAATAGCTGATAAATAGTAACTCCAAAATGTTATTTCTAATACATTTAAAAAAAAAAAAAAAAAAACTAAAAAATTAAACCAAGGCCCCTAAAAACTCTTGAGGATACAAGGTATCAGTATTTGGAAATGTTCTTAAAATACAATGTATACAAGTGTTCATTAAATACGACACATTTCAAAATACCTCTAATGTCATCTTAGAGGGATTCATTCCAGGGCCCTCAAACCAGATAAGTTTAGAAATTCCTAAGTCTAAAGATCCTAGAAGGTACAGATATCTGAAAATGTGTAACTGCATATAGACACGCACACAGACACACATATACATACAATTGCTATTCAGTCCTCACAGCACGTATCAGTATTGGCTACTTCACATTAGATGGGCTGTTCATTTTATTTCTATGTAGACTGCACTTGTGCTGCTGCAAGGTGAACTCAGACTCTGCACACACTTACCTAAACCACCAGTGAAACAGCAAGAACTGGCCCGGCAGTGCTGCTGCCTCTGTTACAGTTTTCAGGCATTGGATGCAGAAGTGGGGTGACATGTTCGGTCTGGTGAAACTTCTGTGTTATATTGGCCTAGGCTGAGATTTCCAAAGTAGCCTGAGAGCACCAAACAATGGCAACCCTTGCATTTTCTTTGGTGTCTGTGTAGTTACCTCTCTTAGACTTTTAAAATCATCTCTCCTGGAAGAGGACTAGTCCATATCCATGTAAAGGAGCTTCTTTTTTTTCCTGGATATGTTCCTTTTCCCTAAAAATAAAACAGAACAACAACAAAAAAATCTGTCAGGTTACCCCATCTGGGAGAAGTAATGGGAAGATCAAAACTGGCACAACTAAGGAAAATAACATAGTTTCAACAACTAGCACCATAATTCATTTAGGAGAAAGGGAAAAAGAAAAAAAAAAAAGAAAAAAGAGAACAAAAAAAGCTTTCTTAACATTTGTATTTCACTATATAACTAACTTAAAATGTAGCTAGCATGATTCTCTGCTTGGAGGTCCTTTAATCTCAGTGTGATAGTGATTTTGACAATGAGCTGGTTGACTGCAGAAAAGCATACAGAAATTCTCAAATGTTACTTATCATTGCATTGGTGGAGTGGGGATCTTAACTGCTTTTCATGGACTACCAGTCTGAATTAATTCTGAAAATGTTCAGAGCTCAGCTCATTGAATTGGCATCTGAAAGTTTTACATTTTATTTTTGGCTGTTCCTGAAAGGCTGTGTCCCAGAAACCTTCTTCCCTTTGCTGTCATGCTTCTTACACCATACATTAAGCTCTGCATCCACGTGTACATTACAACATTGGCATACTGTGCTAAAATCCACAGAGGCATACTGAACATTTCTCAAAAATTATCTTGTGTGCCCTCTGGAACAATTTCTTCCTTATTAATGGCCTCACAGATTGAAGCTCTTACAGGCCAGCATTTTGTATAGCTTTACTGGTCCATCCTGATGGATCAGTGTTGTTCTTGGGATAACATGCAAAAACACAGGTACAGAGAAAAAGGGGATGCTCATATCTCAAATATTTATGATATGAGGCAGGCATGCAAGGAAACATTGGAAGGTCTTAGGAAATGTGTAGTGGTGGGTCAGGATAAATGGACAAGAGAGCAGCAAAAAAGATACACGGGAGATCTGAGCAGCTTTTTTAATATCTTGACTACATTTAATCTCCAGACATACATCAGAACAGATGACACAGCACAGCATAGTACAGTCTTTGCTGATGCGTAAAGATGTG